ATTAACTTCCCCACTTCCCTCCCCACAGTGTGGTCAAGGGCACCTGTGAATAGGTTTTGGACCTGAGCTGGTGACTTTTTCCAACTTAATTCCCATTTAAAATATTATTAATGGCCTCCTATCTCCAGTTCAGTTTAACACATAACCAGAGGAGCTGGGGTTTTAAAAGCTTTCTTGAGGATAAAGCCTGCACTCATGCAGCTTCACTGCTGCTGAGTTCGTCTACATTAATGTCATTTAAATTTTGCCCAGGGTTTTAATAAGAATTCAAATATAACTGCTGGGGGTTTAAAATATGTGTTTTGAAAATTGGAGCCATCCAAACTATGCAGGACAGCACATCTCCTGTGTTTATTTTTATTCCTGATCTAGACTCTGCATCAGCTGTCTTCATGGTTTGGTAGTGTGAAGTACTGGAAGCCTACCAATGCATATATATATATAAAACTTCCTTTTTGGTTTGCATCAGTAGAAGGACAGATTCTTTTTCACTTTGAGTCACTTAGAAGTCACTGTGCAGGCTAATTTAAGACAAATGTGAACACATGATATCTGAACAACGGATGTGAGGCTGTGTTTGAAGGAAATATGCTGAAAAGGCTGCATCCTTGGGGGTCTTTGGTAGGAGACAGTGCTGGCAACCACTTGGAGAAAGGATTCTGTTACTGCTGTGGTATTTTGGGCTCCAGGGTGCAACGTTTAGAATGTGCTCTGCTCAGACAGTCATGGGAGGAGCCCCTCCACCGTGGCAACTCACACATGACTTTGCACTGTTGGTAATGATCACACAACAGAGACAAAAAGAAGAAAAAAGAGGATGGCCTTGCATACACAGACCATGACGGTCTGTGATTGCATTCTCCAAGGCTGTAACCAGGAGTTATAAATTGCTATATTGCATATTTTTACCTCTCATCTAATTGAAGAAACACTGTATACAGCTTTGCAGATGGCCCATTTATTTTGCTGAACTACCAAGGGCTCAAGGATGCTGTTTAGAGCTAACTGGGTACAAGCACAACAAAGGCCAGGGGAAATTGGCTCTTGATAAAATCAATTGTCAGGTATGGATGAATATCTGTTTTGCAAGGCCACAGCACCTCCCTTCTGAATTAATGAACCTTTTGCCACAAAGGCTGAAAAAAATATAAGGCATACTTACCCACAAACTGCTAGAAACGTTACAGAATTTTACAGCAGCACCTCAGTGCTCAGTGAGCACCCGTGAGTATTGGCACTGATGCTGAGTGGGCTAGAGGAGGAAGGAAAGGCTGTGTGCAGGTGCAGCCCATGGGGGACTTTCCAGACACAATTCACCTGAAGGTATCCTGTGCCCTGGGCAAGAGGCTCAGCCTCTCAGGAGAATTCCAGTGTGCAGCTGTGTCTGAGCCTATCCCAACACCCTGTGTGTTCTGGGAAGCAAGAAACCCTCTGAAACCAAAGCCATCTTGCTCCAGCCTCCCCTCTACTTACCCAAATATACCTGCTCTGCTGCAGCAAGTGGCAGGCTGGGCCAATGCCAGATCTCTGCAATGAGGTCCAATATGGGAGACCTGAATGTGCTGTGCCAACAGAGACCAGAATCACCAGCAACAGATTGGAAAGGGGAGTATTGTTTTCTTCATTTTACACAGAGTGGGCTGAGATACAGAAACATGTTAGATGTTGTCTTCAATTAAAGACTGGTGGTTAAACACACAGAAATAACTGCTGATTTCAAAATTCTAGGAAATATTGATTACATTGTGCCAAAGGAATAAAGCATCCCTAGTCACACCAGAAGTGCATTATAATTTTTTTTACCTCTTGATTTCAGTTCTTTTACTTGGAAGGTTTCTGTTATCCAGCTTGAGATGACAGAGGTGACCAAGGACACATTATGGGCCAGGGGCTGTGATGGATGAGCAGCCTAATGACCCACCAAAAAAAATCCTGACTTGAAGATTCTTTATCCAAGTTTCTCTCATAATCACAAATGGACTGGAAAAAGCCAATAAAATCAATTTGCTATTCAAAGAAGGGCTAAAGCAATAATGAATTCAATTCCACTATGATTTACCTTGTACAATACAGATGTAGTATACAGGTACTAATGTGAGTTTTGGATAACTTACCTGAATTGCATCTCCAAATATTTTTGATAGTTGCTAATCTTTGGTACTAAAATCACTGTATTGCTTATTTAGGTGTCATACAATGAAAAAAAGAAAAGATACGAAAGTACTAGAAGAGAGGATACTAAAGTTCTTACTGTAATTACAAATCCCACCAGTGACTCAGGTTTTATAAACCTTAAAATGACTTTCATTTCTGTATAATAGAAATTAATTTATAAATGGAAGGCAGCAATATCTATACAATTCTTAGATGGTATGGTGTTTATTCCCCTCAGGTCCTGCTGGCTGGCTGAGCTGTGGGGATGAGTCTGTGGGTCCAGGACCACCTCTTGCCCTGCAGCAGGCATAGGTGCTCCTTGGAATCACAGCATGGAGAGAAAACCAGGAGATAGGCCATCTGTTATGCTGGCCAATGCTAGCTCCAACAGGTGCACGTTTGAACAAATATTTGATATTGTCCAGGAAATACAGAGGAGTTTGTGTACATATTTCTAAACTAGTCCTCTATACACAGCAGTGGAGATACAGCAGGGCACAGACTTTTTTTATTTCTCTTCCCCTGGGCCTGGCTCTGACCAGGCTTTGGCTCATGAGACAGCTTTTGAAAAGGGATCTGGTTTATTATCCATGAGGTCACAGGGGAGTCACTGGTGGCATGGGACAGAAAGGCTGTAGGGAGTTTAGAGGAGGCTATGGGAGGGCAGAGACAGCACAGGGCTGGTGGGAGGGCTGATTCCCAAAAAATCAGCACTTCTGTAGCCTGGTGCAGGGCTTTGGCCCAGATTTTGATGTGCTTGCTGAACACATGCAGCACCGGAGGATTGAGGATCAGAGGCAGAGCCACGAGTGGGCACAGTGCCTTAGAATCACCACGCCAAGAGTAAAACCCTCCCTGCCAGACAGGCACAGAGCCCTGGCTCAATACACAGTCCCCTAGAGCATCCCACAACCCCTGCACCAAACAGCAGCAATGAGCTGGTGGCACAGGGCTTTCAGCATCCACAGGGCTGCCTCTGCCACTTTGGCTGACTCAGGACAGAAGCTCATCTTTATCACGGGGAGAAAGGTTTTCTCCAAATAGTTCTTCATTGTGTTCCCTCGGGACTCTCAAATCAATAAAATCTCTCACTCTACAAATAATTATTTAAAAAATAAACCTAGGAAATGAGATAACTCTGCCAAGCACCAAACCCCATGAATTCATTGCACCTAACACCAATCACTGCATTCCTGTTAGCATGCCTGCTGCTGTCCTTTCCTCTCAGACAGGCTGGGTGGCTGCACACACAGCCTGGATCATGGCAGCCACATGCAGGGAGCTTCATCTCCTGCTTCTTGTCAGGCCTCTGGCAGCAGCTCCCAGCTCAGTAGCAGTCCAATGGAAAGTGCTGCTTCTCCCGACAAACCTCCTGTCCTTGGCTATTGCCTCCATCATTTCTGCTCCTGCACTGCTAAGGGCAGTTCTAGGAAACCCTTGTCAAGAAACCTCCTCCGCTCTTGTCTCCCGGCTCCTTGCCCTGCGGAGGGTGGCACCCGATGATCCCGGCCGTGCCAGGCAGTGTCCGGCGGGGCTCCAGCAGCAGGAACCGGGACAGAGGACCTGCCGTGAGCTGCCGTCGTGCCGGCCATGCCGTGATGCCCCTCGGCAGCGCTCGGGATTCCCGACACAGCCGCAGCTGCGGGGAGCGCGCCTCTCCTGCGGAAAACAGCCGAGCCCGTGGGGGGCGCGGAGGGACCGGCACCGCTCCGAGCGCCGGCGGCGCGTCCGTGCCCGCGGCCACCGGGTGCTGCGGGGTGTCACCGGGTGTCACCGGGTGTCATCGGGTGCCACCGGGTGCTACGGGGTGCCACCGCCGCGGGCGAGCGCGGCGGGGCCGGGCCTGGCCGGGCCGCCGCCCCCCGGGCCGGCAGCGGGCGGCGCGGCGGGACCGGCGGCAGCGGCAGGATGGTGAGCGGGGCGGCGGGGGGCGGGCTGGGACAGACAGACAGACAGACAGCCCCTGCCGGGACCGACACACAGACAGGGAGCTGCTGTTAGGGATAGATAGGCAGACACGTAGCTCCTGTCGTGGACAAACAGCTGCCGCCGGGGACAGAGAGGCAGCTCCTGCTAGGGACGGACGGACAGACAGACAAGCAGCACCTGGCGGGGACAGACGGACCGACAGATGGGTAGCCCCTGCTGGGGATGGACAAACAGACAGATGGGCAGCACCTGCTGGGGATGGACAGACAGGCAGGCAGTCCCTGCCGGGGACGGACGGACGGACAGACAGACAGACGGGCAGCCCCTGCCGCTGGCTCCCAGCCCGAGAGCAGGGCGCTGAGCGCCGTGCCGGGACAGGGTGCTGACCCGCGGGCTTTGGGCCATCCGGACCGCGCCATCCCTGGGCTGGTGCCGCTCTGGGAGCGCTGCCCGAGCCCCAAGGCAGGAGTGCCAGTGCTGGGGCACGGCCGGGTCCCCGCGGCTGCGGCAGTGCGGGGATGTTCTGCTGTGCTCTGCTGTGCCCGCTCTGCTGTGCTGTGCTCTGCTGTGCCCATTCTGCTCTGTTGTGCCCTGCTCTCCTGTGCTGTGCTGTGCCCATTCTGCTCTCCTGTGCCCGCTCTGCAGCCCCAGCTCCGCCCGCACAGGGCACAGCCCGGCCGTGCCTCGGCTCCTGCCCTGTAAAACACCGCTGCCTGCTCGCCCTCTCTTGCTGAGTGCTTGTGAAACGCTGAGGAAAACACTGCGCTGTTCACTGAAAGATAGAATGGTTGTCCAACATTATTACTTTCTCTTTAGGCCGTCAAGCATTCTAATTTTTTCTCTTGCAATATAAAATTAGCAAGGGCATCTGAAATATGGTGTTTGGGCAGTTTTTGAGAAACCAGTATATCTTTTCCATGTTCGTATATTTGCTTTTGCAGTATGGATTTATAAACACGTGCCTGAAGTCTTTGGTGGTTGAAAAGTATGGTGAAGAAACATGGGAAAAATTAAGGTAATGTGTTCCATATAAATGTAATGTAGGAATTCAGCAGCAGGGGATATAATTTCTTATTGGTAAATGGTAGCTGATGTGATCTCAAGTAATTATTAGGAGTAGCTAACAGGGCAAATGCAAGAGTTTCTTGCCTTGTAACAGTTCTTCCTCTGATGCTAATTTGTCCCAATTAATTTGTCATATCAGATAATTAAAGATGACATTTAGTCTTATATACAATTTTGCAATAGACTTGCTGGCTCACTGTGACAATATCAAGAAGTAATTAAATTGAAAAGATGTCATCCTTAATATAAAGTCAGTTTAATTCCAGTACTCAAGAAAGCTAAATCAGGATCATAGATCATCTGGTTCCAATCCCCCTGCCATGAGCAGGGAACCTTCCACTAGACCAGGTTGCTCAAAATCCCATTCAATCTGGCCTTGTATCATCTCTGGTTTTGTCTTGTTTTTATGAGCTATATGGTGTTTCCAAGATACATAAATGATAGTTAGATACCGTATAATCCATCCACCATATATTATCATCCATTGAAGCCAATACAAAAAAAAATCAGCAGGTTTGGGAAGCCCCAAGAGCTTGATATTGTAGCTACATTGAACAACAAACTAGTAGGCCAGAAGACAAACTCAGACTCCACTTGCTTTAGCACCCCACAGTATGACTCCTAATCCTTGAAAGAGTTTACTGTAATACCATAATGTGAAATAGCAGAAATGGTGAGGTGGACACCACCATTCGGCCATGTTAAAGCAATTTAATTAATTTAAAATGAAACTTACATCATTAGGTGAAGTAGTGTGTTCCAATACAACGCCTGAGGGAGGTTAAGGAGTGCATTCACAGCAAACAGTACTTGAGAAATGCCACTTGGGTCACCCAAGCACGTTGTATTTACAGCACTGCTGAGACAAGAATATTGTCTTCTCTGTTGTAGGCTGCAGGCTGGAGTCCAGGATTCTTTCTTGACTTTTGAGGTTTACAAAGATGAGATCACAATGCAGCTTGTTGACAAAGCCTGCAAAGTATTAGGTATGTGTTAACTTGCCTCAAAAATGGATCATCCTGGGTCAAGCCTGAGACTGCAGCCCAGGTTTTGTCTCCTGTGCCCTTGGGAATGCCTTCCCTGTGTTGCAAGTTTTCTGCCTTCAATCTCAATCCACCTGACAGCATTGCAAGGACTTCCAAACCTTTCTTATTCCTTAAGGTATCTTTATTTTGCCAGGTGTTCCTGCTGACCTTGTTCTGAGGGAGTTTGGAAAGTATTTCTTTGAATTCTGTAAGCGCTCAGGCTATGACCACATGCTGAGGACACTGGGTGGAAATCTCTATGAGTTCATAGAGAACCTGGATGCATTGCACAGCTACCTGTCCCTTTCTTACCAGGCAAGTCTGAGTACTAACTGCTGAGCAGGTATGGTTGGACTCTGCCAGAGTTCATAACGCAAGGAACAGCATCTCATAGGTGTGAATAAATAATGACAAAAAATCACCAAAGCATGTTCTCTTCTGCTGTGTTCTGAAACAGATTACTCCAAATGTTAGGGCAATTTCTAAAAATGATTGGGTTTGACTATTCCTCAACATTAGGTATTATTTACTCCATTGGCTCTAATGCATAGCAGATTTTTCTTCATAGGTGAGAATATTTAATTTTCTGTTTTTCAGCTTATTTTTATTACAGTTTGTGTTATTAAGACATGAGAGGCTTTTGTACAAGTGGAATTCATCAGTAGACTTTTTCAGAAAAAAAGATATTGAGGTTTTGATTTTGTTTGTTTTTTTCCTCAGGAGATGAATGCACCATCTTTTAGAGTAGAAAAGAATGAAGATGGGTCAATGCATTTACATTACTATTCAGACAGAAGAGGTCTGTGCCATATTGTGCCAGGTAATGAGACTAAATGCAGAGTACAGGTCAATGCAATATATATACAGAGTAAGCAAATATTTGCAGATGCACTCAGAGCTCAGGATCCTTTTTCAGATGAGGCCTGGCCATGGAATTGAAGCCTGGTAGAGTTCAGTGTCCAGACACCTGAACTCAGTATTTCCCTACTGCCTGATCACTCCTAGCTTTCAGTAACTTTCATCAAAATTTATTGTATGACATCCCAGGCTATAAATGTCCATTCTTGCTATAGAATTCCCTCCCTGGAAGAAAAATTAAAGTTCATGGTGTGTATTGTGTCTAACTGGTTATTAATTCTCAGTGACTCGTGCTTTTAAAATTACTGTGAAGTAAAAACTCTAGTTGAGTACATTCATCCACCCTGTAGTACATCCAATCTGTAAAACTCCTCCTGAACCCTGCTCCAAATTGAATCTTTCACCTGCATTTACCAGAATCTCCAGAGCTGTACATGTACAAGCATTAGAGAGCTATAGGTCTGTAAGAGGTGATCATATTCCTTTCTTTCATAACTGATGCTGAGTTTAGAGGTTCATCAAAACTTCCCCCTATGTCAAAACTTATTTGATTATTATTGAAAGCACAAAATTATTTAGAATTTCAGAAAGACCTTTTGATGTCATTTTGATGTCCAGTATTTTGCCTAATACCTAACCAGAAATGAGAGAACTGATTGTGCATCTGCATGAAAGTTATTTCCTTCCTTTCAAATATAATATTCTTCAATGGCTGAAATAGATTGTGTAGCAGAATCTCTTTAGACTCCCTGCCCTCTTTGGGTTGATGGGAATTCATATTATTGCTCTATGGCTACTTGAACACATTCTTCAGATATCCTGCTAAGCTGCTCCTAGTGAAAACCAGCATTTGTCCTCAGCCAAGGCAAGAGCAGCAGTAACTTTAAAGCTGACCTCCTATGTGCATATTCTCATCATGGCAATGGTAGCAAGAATGACATGAGCTGCTTTCGTTTTCCAGAGTTCTTTGGAAAAGTGATTTCTGAAACAGAGAAATTTCACTGTGGGCCCTCTAAAAGGAGAATTGAAAAGGTTTTGTTCTTGGCAATACTTTATCTTTTGCTTCCCCTTCAGGAATCATTGGTGCAGCAGCCCTGGATTTTTTTAACATTGAGATTTCAATGAAAATAGTCAATCAAACAGAAGAAGAAGAAAGAACTGGGAAAAAAGAACATATCGTATTTCTTGTCACTCAAAACCCTCTATTTCCATGCAAGGAAAGAAAAGAATTTTCTTCCTCATCTCCATGTCTTGTTGACTCTGAAAAACAAATTGAGAACCAAGTGAATAAAGAGGTATTCCACTATTCATTATCACCATATTACTAAAATATATTTAAAATAAAAACACCCTTGAATTTCCCTTTGGATATATTTCAACAGGACCTTGAAAAAGCCAAGAATGCACATGGAGACACAGGAAACTCTGTTTGTCCTGTTAAGAAAAGTCACTGGAAAACATTAAGAGGAATTATCACATTAGGAAAAGGTGAGAGATCACTCAGAGGGAGCTCGTCATCTTTTCTGAGTCTCTTCAGTTAGAAAGTCAGTAAGCCTCCCTATCCCCACCCACCCATCCATTTTAAAGTTACCATTTATATTTCCTCTGCAACTTTTCAAAATGTTTCTGGTTAAGTTTCTCTCGGTTTGACAGTGATGATCAAAGAAAAATTGTAGGTAATAAGCACGCTTAGTAATGACAGATACTTAAATGGAATATGACCTGTCACTTTTGTCTCTTAAACAGGGCTTTCATCTGAAAAGTGTTCTTCTATAAAATGCCATTGTGTGGTGAATTTGATTCTTCATTCTCGTTTAAAAGTGTGTTTTTTAACTTGGTAGATATTACTCCTTTCCAAAATTATCAACTGTAGTAAATTTTGAAAGCCAAATTACATCCTCCACTACCAGAAGTATGACAATCTAGTAATCTCTGTTCTTACCTCTATGTATTAGATGTTTATGAAATGGAAGGAATTTTTCAGTTAGGGTTTTTTGATTCCCCAAAAGGAATGAGAATCTAGCTCACATTGCCAAGATGTCTGCATTCTGGGATGAGTGAAAAATTGAACCTGGTACCACCTGGTGCAGTGTCACATGCATTACAAGGGCAGATGTACTAAGTAAGAAATTAATATATGTTTAAAATAAAATTTTGGACTAGCATTATTACTAAAAAAAATAAAAGAATTCTTTAGCCATGAGTTATCAAGAGCCAGATTTTGATAAATTAAAAACCCATGCTGACTTCCCCTGAAGCAAGAAGAGGTCTAAAAGATAGGTTCTAAATTTGTAATATTTTTCACCAATCTTCTGAGTGACTTGAACGTTTGTTCTCAGCAGAACTTACTGGAGTAACTGTCATAGGCACCTTTGGGGGAAAGAATCCCTGGAAGTAATCATCCTTTTGATTCTGGTGGGTTACTGAGAATCCAAGTTTATACCATAAGGATCAAAGGTTTTGGGTGCTTCATTCAAAAGACGAGCTCTTTTGATATTTTACCTGTTGTATTCCTTTTACAAAAATATCTGCTAGTAAGCACAAAGTACTATGTAGATTTGTGACCATTTTGTAAAAAATCTCAGGGTAAGTAAAATAGAAACCAAACAGTAATTCTGTCTCTGTTCTATGGACATTGTACATATGGTTTATTGTATAGGAGACTAAAACCCAGATCACACTGGCTTTTTTCTCTAAGTGTTCCTTAATAGCTGGCAAAGTGTATTAAATCCACTTCTATGTACATTTTTGTGGAATGAACCTGTGTTATATTGTATGGCATCTGCAGATTCATAGAGAAGTAACGTCTACAGTTATTAATCTATTCTTATTTTTTCAACATAATTTCATGCATCTAATGCTCTGTGGTTTTTTTGTGTTTAAGTTTTAAACACTCAGCCAACTCAGGTTAGTTGCTGATCAGCTGTGGATTACACTGCAGAGCATTTAGCACAGATGTGTGCACATTTCTGGGCCCACACACTGAGCTTTGTCTTCACTCACTATGTTAGAAGGTCCTCTCACTGGGTGATAAAAAGTAATGCTGATTGGTTTTATGAAGTGCAGCCTGATTTAAAAACTACACATTTATCCCTCCACAGGTAAACTCCTGAGAGGATTTGATCCTGTTTATCCCAAGAGCCTCTGGATTGATACAAAAACATTTTGCAATGGACTTCCTTTTCACATGGTTTTTGACAAAGAGGTAGGACAAACATGTGTTTGCCTTAGTTTGCCTAAACCTCGTAGTAATTTCCCTGTTTTGACTGTTCTACTGTTCCCTGCTGTGTGCAGTTACACTCACTTACAGGATTTGCAGAAATACTCTGTACAGAGACAGGCTCTGTATCACTGCAGATAGGAATCTCCTTTGAATTTACTGAGTTTATCCTGTCTGAAACAGCTGCAGATATGCCACCAAGGTTTATTGCAGCAGTCTATCTGTTACCAAATAGTGAGCAGAATTTTTTAAGGTTTCTGGTCACCTTCCTGTCCCTGGATATACCAGAGACATGTTCCATCCTTTAAACTGGCTTTGCACTTAAGAGTTTCCCCCTTTCCTTCCAGTTACTAATCTATGCCAAGGCTTTGAGGGCTTTGCTGGCAGCTGAGGCTCTTTGTGCTTCCTGAGTCTGCTCCTACATGCTTCTGCTGGGAAAGCCCAGCTACCCTGAATCAGGCAGCATGCAACCCCACTGGGACCCAAAAATCTCTTTACCTTGTGGGGCAGGGTTGAGTCTCCTCTCCTGTGCACACATTCTCTGCAGCCCCTTGGCAGGGTTGCCTTCTGGCTGGTTCCCACCAAGCTACAGCCCCTCTTGCTCCAAACCCTGTAAAGAGAATATTGGCTCAAGACAGGAGCAAAGAAAGGAGGAGCTGAGGATGGGACAGCAGAAGAATGCTGAATACATTCCCCTCGGGGAACGTGTTTTGGCATCGTGCTGATGGAGATTCCAGAGCATAGAATCTTCTTCATGCCACTGCCCACATCAGCCAAAATACAGTCTTAAACCTCTCAAGAAGGCCAGTATGCATAGTTTAATAAAATTACTAGTGTGTAAAGAAGAAAAGTCCTACACCCATTACTGGCAGCCAGGTCAGAGCATCGATAATTGATGACAAGCAGAGAAGAACATTTCTGCAGAATTTAGGAGCTCACATATGGTCAGCAGAGTAAAGGAAAAGACTAAACCTTTATGCTTCGTTAAGAGAAAGTAACTCATGGCATCTATTAGAAAATTAATATTTGCCACGGGGTTTTATGCCATATTTATTTTCGTTTTGGAATACAAGACACACTGGTATCTCAAATTTTCTCCTGCAGTTACCTGTAAGGCTGATTGTGAGGTCTACACAAATGCAAGCAGGGATATTAGCAGGTAGTTTGGGGGGATTTTCACAATTGACAAGAAGGAACATTTTAATAAAAATGTTTCTTGGGGCTTTGTCCTGCTATGAAGGGCATGCATTCAGAGCTGTGTAGTTGCTACACTGACAAGGTAGATGCTCTGCTCAGAAATAAGCCATGTGCTCTAGAAAGCCTGAGTGTGTGGAAATGTATAAACAGTGATCAGTTGTTGCTTGGTCTGAACCCAAAGGGACATGAATTGTAACACTGGTCCATATTTTCTTTTTAAGCTCAAAGTGAAGCAAGCTGGGGTGAGCATTCAAAAGATTGTACCTGGCCTTCAGACCATGGGCATCTGCTTGGATCAGTACTTCAGGATCGTTCACCCAGAAGTACCCTTCACCATCTCCAGCATTCAGAAATTCATCAACAGCCAATTTGTTTTCCAGACTAGAAGAGAGATGATGCCTGAGTCATGGAAAGAGCGGCCAATGCTAGAGCTGAGAGGTACTTCACTGTTTTCAGCAGCATAAGTGCTCCTGTGAAATCAGGAATTACAGAGGTGCCACTCCTGACCTCACTCAAGTCCTATAAATAGCCTTGGGGCAGTGAGGAGATTACATAGTTCTGTTTAGAGAAGCAGTAGATGCCTGAACACAAATTCTGCTATCACCTCACCAGATTTTGAAGGCTTTCAGTCAGAAACAACAACTCTGCTCCTCTTTGAAAAGCTTAGAAATATGGTGGTTTTCTGATGCTGCAAAACCCACATGTGAATACGTGATTTGTTAATTTATGCCTTTGAGGGGAGTTATTTGCTACTGGCTGGGTTTCAAATGTGATTAAAAATAGATTAGTTCTCTGTGCTTTTATTTTTTGTAGAACATTTTCAGGTTCTAATTTCTGTCTTCACACACCAACCCCCCCCCCAAAGCCACGTAAGAGCTTACCAGTTAAAATTATCTCAGCAAAAAATATACTGTATTTGTTTTATTTTTACTGAGAGGACTGAATTTGGGATGATGCTCTGCTTGGTGTAATTAAGTATAATGACTTTTGGTTTAATTGTTCTGTGACTTCAATTTTTCTTTTCTGAGCTACGGAATGTGACCTAATTTTCTTTTGTCTCCTTTCACCTTTTTGTAATGAGTGTCAAATCTTGTTTTCCTGAGATTCAGAAAAAAAATTAAGGGTTTAGGGATACCTTGAAAAAAGCAATGCTACCAAAACAAGGAACTTTGACTAGTCACATGTACAATTGTACTTTCTATTATGCTCTAGGAGTTAATTCCCATGTATTTCTGATGTTCCAATCCTCTTAGTTTTAAAGCTGGTCATCTGGTAGCCCTGGGGATAATGTGAGGGAGAAAGAAAGAAATAGGAATTCCTAGATTGCTGTTTAGGAAAAAATGATACTTAAGAAGTAAGAGAATAATAATAGTTATTATTATTATTCCTCAACAAAAACCTAAAAAACTGGATCCCCCACCAAAAATCCCTTTTACCTTTCAGGCATTTGTGTTTAGATTATGATAGTAACTGAAAGCTCCAACTTCCAGGGAGGAAAGTGCCATTGACTTTACTGGGACACAAACTATGCACTGTGAAATTAAACGTCAAATGTTTTGCTTAATCACTGTGAGTCTCAGTTCCCCTGTGCATGATCTTGACTCACTGGCTTCGGGAACAGCTCAAGAGCTAGGAGGAGAGGAGGGGAAAATGCAGAGAGGAGAAGAAAGGAGAGGGGAGATGTGAGCATTGGGGTTCCTCATGAGGAGGAGGGACTTGAAGTATAGTTGGGCTCTGCCCAGCACCTGCAATGAGGGAGTGACTGCTTCCCGGGTCCCAAAATTTTGTTATTTGCCCAGTGTGGCTCCTCTGAACAAATTCACCTCGCATTCCAAGGAAAGAAATTCCTGTGATTATCCAGACCCTACAGAAACCCACTGTCCTTAGAGCTCATCCCCTCAAACGAGCACCAGCAGTGCCGAGCACCCTGTGCAAGGGCCCCCTGCTGAAAACCTTGCCCGCTTGCTGCCCGCAGGGCAGATGCTGTGGATGGAGTCCCTGCAGTGCATGCTGTACCTGTGCTCGCCCCTGCTCCGCACTCTGCACGAGCTGGAGGAGCGGCAGATGCACATCGCCGACATCGCCCCCCACGATGTCACCAGGGACCTGATCCTCCTCAACCAGCAGCGCCTGGCTGAGATGGAGCTCTCCAACCAGCTGGAGAGGAAGAAGGAGGAGCTGCGGGTCCTGTCCAAGCACCTGGAGGAAGAGAAGAAGAAGACTGAAGCTCTGCTCTATGCCATGCTTCCCCAGCACGTGGCCAACCAGCTGAAAGAGGGCAAGCGAGTTGAGGCAGGTGAATGAGCAGGGAGCATTTGGGATGTGTGATTTGTGCAACAGGAGATGGGGACAGAGAGATTGGGGTGCTGGCACAGCCCCTTTACCACTGCCCTGGAGTCCACTCTCTACTTGGTGACATCCTTGCATAGGAGGATGATCACAGACCTTTAATTTGGCTGATAATAAAAATTAGCCTATTCTATCAAAAAAAGCTTTGGAAGCTCTTTGCCAAAATTGTTCCTTAGTTGGTGAAAGGTGGTAGGAGCTGCCCATTCAGTGAACAAAATTCAGTGTTCAGCACTGTCTCAAAATCTGAGATTTTGGTTTTAACATGGGTATACAGGAAAACGAGGGCTCAGAAGTGAAGGGAATATAGAAAGTGGTCTTTGCTAGAAAATTCTCTTAGTACCCCTATACTATCTATAAATGTAGGATCATGATGATTCCCATTGTTATTAAGGGTAGCAATAATATGCTTAAATTCCCTTTAGTAAGCACATATATAAAATTAGAGATAACGAGCTAAGTGTATCCTGTATATGTTGTAGGCAGATGTTTGTGTTGTCTGAGATGTGCAATTATTCTATATTTTATACACTCTTACACTGACACCTCTCCATCTCAGTATGATTATTACAACTGAGAGGCCATAGAATGATCTTTTCAAGCAGGTCTCAGATTCCATGATTGTCCAGCCATGACAAATACCACTGCTCTTTCTGCCCACAGGAGAGTTCAAGGAGTGCACTATACTGTTCAGTGATGTGGTGACCTTTACCAACATTTGTGCCCAGTGTGAGCCTATTCAGATAGTTCTCATGTTAAATTCAATGTACCTGAGATTTGACAGACTGACCACAGTGCATGATGTGTACAAGGTAGGTACCGATCAAAAAAGGCTGCAGAAATTTTTGTTTGTTTGTTTTTGTTTGTTTTGTTTTTGAATTTACTTCAGCCTTCTTCACCACAGCATGATTGTTGATTAAACCATAAAATATTAACTATTTGTAGTGGCCACACAAACTGAAAAAGAGAGAAGTGGAAATTATTGGACAGGACCTCAACTTCTCTCATAGGCCAAAGTCTTTTTCCTCAATGATAATACCAGAATGACTCTTGTTTCATCTCTCTCTCCCTTCTTTCTCAAATGCCTATCCAACATGCATAATTTGTCTAGTTCTTTTACTTAAACCTCTTCTAAAATAGGTCACTATGTCATTGTCTCTTTTGGTGGGAAATAGCATTATAAACAATACCCAGACAATAGCTAGACTTTTATTTCATGGAGATCTTCAGCAATGGTGCCATCTCCTGCTAACCCCCACAGAGCATCAATTACACCTAGACTGTATGTGTGGTCTCCAAACTGTGCTGGAAAGATCAGAGCCCTGGCTGGCCTATAATAAAAGCATTATTAACACTTCCAGAGGTACCAGGTTTGATGTGCTGAAGAGCAGTTCCTAAATTTCTGTCTGCTCCCAGCTCATTAAATATTTAGGAAGGCAGACATAGTATAGGGTAAAATCCAAATCTTATTCATTCCTAGCTCAGGCAAGGCTTGCAGTTCATCCCACAATAAATTGTACTGGGAAATCAGAAGCATTTCTTCCTTGGCAAGGAATCTGTATTCAATAATTGAAGCACCCAGGATACGGCCCACAGATTTCAGGATAAATTAGCATCATATTCTGTCTAAATCATCCATCATAAGTAAATGATCTGTCACTAGAATAATCTCCTTTTGAAGCCTGTATATAACTCCTATTAATGTTGAAGGAGGTTACTGGGGTACAGAGAGCAAGGATGAGATTACTATTGCAGGGAATTGGGAAAGAAGTGAAATAGCTACATTGATCAAAGAAACTTGGCCCAAGCTTATAAACATCTGAAGTTATGAATAAATCTTGTTAAATTACATCTGAAAAATAATTAGGGTATCTCTTTGCATTAGTAGATTTTTGCAGTTGTTTTTAATTTGTTACAGAAAATTACCAGCATTACTGTGGGTTTGGCTATCTGATAGAAGGCATGGACAGGAATACCTTCTTTGACATCGATGTGCTGAACTGTTTTAAGTCATTGTGTTTGTTAATGAGCAAATCCAAATACTGAATTATGTTTCCACTCTCCTATTGGTTTTAATTTTTAAGTAAGACAATTAGTCCAATCGAAAAGATCTCTTGTTTACTGATGATAAATGGGCCAGTGAAGTCTCACAAGAGCTGTTTAGAAAATTTCATTACTGTCTAACAGGCTTTTACAGTGGATTTTAAACATTTAAGAATTCTCTGTTTCAAACAAGTCTGTTCAATTCCCAGCAAAGTTTCTAATATGGGAATAAAATCCACAGTATTTCTCAGGTACTTTAACAGCTAGTTCAATGAGACTGGATGCCTGAAGGAGAACCAACCCTTCAGCATTTGTCTCACAGGCTGCAGCTGTTGTGGGAAAACTGGTGGTTGTAGGGAAGGATGTTCCCAAATTGTTTAGCTCACACTGTGTTCTGTGACATCCTGGAGACCGGAGGTTCCTTAATTTTGTGTGAACCCCTTAATCATAATCAGAGTGAATGGGCTCCCTTGCTTTATATTTGTGACTTTTTAAAAAAGAAATCTCTCTCAAATAAGAAATGTGCTTTTAGTACCAGTTGTGAATTAGAGCTAATTAATAGCACTCTATTAATCTAATCTATCAGGTAACCTCCTGCTCAGGAGTCTGTGCCTCAGGCTAGGTCTTTGCATATGGGTCTGCCCTGGGTAAGAGGAAGGTGAACAGCCTGACACTTGTACAGCAGCTCTTCCTCCTTAAGGTCTCTCACACTGATATCTAAAGTGGGTCAAGTGAGCAGGGACAGAATGCAATGAAACTTTTAGGATGGAGTGAAGGAAAGGATCTCCATCTCAAGGAAACTCATGTGTGCTAAAGCTTTTCAGCGATTGGAAGCGTCTTTTAAAAGAAAGGGGCAGTTGGTGCAGATAAGAAGAGCCCTGAACAGCAAACACTCACCTGAGTGGGATACACCTGGCATGCTCATGTGCTTGTCCCTCTCAATTGAAGGTGGAGACGATTGGAGATGCCTACATGGTGGTGGGTGGGGTCCCTGTGCCTGTACCCACTCATGCAGAGCGAGTTGCTAATTTTGCCCTGGGCATGATAATGGCAGCCAAAGGAGTACAGAACCCAGTTTCTGGAAATCCCATCCAAGTAAGTTAACACAGAGGTGCATGTGTGTCTGTGTGCTTCTTGTGCTGAGCTTCTGGTTAATGTATTGCAGCAGCACCTCAAATTGCTGCTTCTGCCTCCTCTTTGGCTTTGGGCAAGGCCCACGTGAGCACATTTTCATGAAGAGCTCTCCCTGTGGATATTTGATCCCATTCTGCTGTCCAGTGTTGTGCTGAGATGAACTTTTCGGTGGCTGGGTAGCATTAAGAAAGATGTCAAATAACAAGTGACATTTCTGGGGGGTGTTTTATGTCTTTGTAAAGATTCGAGTTGGGATCCATACAGGTCCTGTCCTGGCGGGGGTGGTTGGAGAAAAGATGCCTCGTTACTGCTTGTTTGGGGACACGGTGAACATCGCGTCCCGCATGGAGAGCCACGGCGTCCCCAGCAAGATTCACCTCAGCTCCAGCGCCTACCAGTGAGTAACTGATGGAAACTTCACCTGCCCAAACCGTGCTGAAACCCACTGCCTTGCCAGCTGCACCTTTCAGTGTAGGTGCTGCTTAGTCACTCGTTTAAGCAACTTGTAAAGGAAAGTCACTGCTTGTAATGACTTCTACTTTTTTCCCAATTTATTCCAAATGTACTTATGTATATAGAAGCAGAGGTTTGAGAGTCTCCATCTAGAGAGCAAAATATTAAAAAAAAAATTGATGGCTTATTCAGAAATACTGACAAATTGATGTAGGTGATAGAAAGACAGAACATTTAGAATACTTAATAACAAAAGGTGTAAAATCTCTCTGATTGAGCACCATAATTTGTAGTGAAAATTTTATTTACACTTACTAAGGATTAACTGCATAAACAGCTATCCTCTTCATGCTGTAATTTACTTTCCAGAAACTCGTGTGTAAAAATTAATACTACATTTTCAAGAACTTTCTGTGTGCATAAAATCTGTGTGCAAGAGCAGAAGCAAAGACTAACTACAAAGGAAAGAGTACAAAAACATTGGCTGGGCACATAGGAATGATGTTGGGAAAATGAGAACTCAGCTGGCATTGAAATGGGCAACAAAGTTCAAAGGCAGTCAGAGGAGCTCCTGCAATGTTAGAATATAAATAGAAACAGGGACCTGCTGTGGCAGGTGATTTAGTGGCAGTGCCCTGAAGAAAGGTTGAGTTACTCAAGGCCTCTCTTGCTTTAGTCTTCACTGATGAGATCTTCAGGGACCCTGCACCAAGAGTCAGGGTTCAAGGAGGAGGTGAACTATGAGTACTGGAAGAGGATCAGAGCAGGGGTCTTTTGAGACAGCTCAGTCTACAGAAATGCTTGGGAGCAGAAAGGATCTGAGGTAATGAGAGCTGGGTGATGGCTCTGCAGAGCTGCTGGCTGTCAGCTCTGGAAGGCATGACTGTCAGCACTGGAGCAGCTGAAGAAAGCTGCAGCTGTATGGAAAAATGGCAAGGGGGACACAGTGAAACTTCAGGCTGATCAGCCTCATGTCAGTCCCAGTGAAAATCAAATGGCCATTTTTGGATACATGGAAAAGGCAATTTGGAATAGCAAGTCTGGATGTAAAATAAATCAGTCAATCATGCTTGACAGACCTGATTGCCTTCTCTGATGAAATGGCTGGGGATAATCCTGTCTAGCTGATATTGGCTGCCTCTGTTCTTAATTTCTATTTACTGGTAAATAGGAACCTTCAAACCTACTGAAGTATTTGACTATATGATCCATTAATTTTTGATCAGATTGTATGTGTCAAGCTATGAAAGCACAGCAGGCTTGAATAAACAGTTGAAACAAATCCTCAGTTGTTCACAAATCGAGACTTTTTCCACACTGTTGTGATTTGATCACTCAGCTCTTTTAAAATATCATTGTCATTTTTACTTGTCTTGAATTTTAATGTGTCATTTTGCTTCTGATACTTTAGGTGCCTAAAATACAAGAATTTTGAGATTACTGAAAGAGGAGAAATAGAAGTAAAAGGCAAAGGGAAAATGCACACGTACTTCCTCATTAGAAATAAATCTGCAACTGAGAATGAGATTATGGGAAGGCCAATGAAAGATTTCGATTCTGGGCATGAATCTGTTCAGCCCTTTCCAGAAGGCAAGACTGAAACTATACTGAGTTCTCATCAGCCAGGTAGAGTCAACTCGTCACTTATTTTCCTCCTTGAACAAATGAACGTTAATACAATCCGGTTCAATGTCCTTTTGTATTCTTCTTTCAGCTACTCAGACTCAGCAAAAGAAGGACCAGACCCCAACTGTTGCAATGAAGTATATTGATGGCCCCACAGATGCACAAAACAGCCTCAAAAGAAGAAATCAGATGAAAGCTGGAGATTTAACAGGTAGGTAGTTACCATCTCACAAGGACCACAGAACTAGGAAGTAACTGAGGCTAAATCTTGCAAGTTCTTTATATTCATCTTCTGAATAACCAGTTTTAATAATGGCTTTAGTCAAGCCAGAAATTTGTGCCAACATATACACATTACCCTTCTGCACAATCCTTAGGGCCAGACAAATTTCACCTTTGCAGCAATCCCAGGTGTTGATTGTGCCCTAGTGAGAAAGAAGCTGACAGAGCTGTCAAACCCCAGAGCCCTTTTGGGAGTGCAAATAGAAAGGATAAACGTTAGGCAGCTCTTCACAGGGACAGAACCATGAACTGTTCATGGGGAGCCTTACCAATTCAAGAGAGACCTCAATCCTGTCTTCTGCAGGACTCAGAAGGATTTATTGCCATGGTCATGTTCTATGACCAAAGTTCATTCTCCTTTGAAGTAACTGATACTGATAGATAATAGGTTTGATGCCATAACAACCAAATCGAATGCAGCAAGTCTTGCAGTTCTATTTATGTGTTTTGTGGATTTTATACAGACTAAATATGTTATTGCTAATTACTAGAAAATATTTTACTGCCTTCCCTCCCACCTGCTTTGATGTGGTGGTTAATCTAGTATGTGGTGTGCTGACAAACAGAAACCTCTCTGGTCCTTAAAAACTCACACTGCAGGAGCGTTTCCTTTCAGGCAAAACTTGTGATTCCAAAAGCGATGGGAGTCTCCATGGCAACCAGCATGCAGATGATGGTCCTCATCCTCCAAACCAGGGAAGAGTCAAACCTGCTGCTGAAGAGCCACAGAATAGAAATGTTCGCTCTAATTTTTGCACTTTACTCTAAGTTTCTTACGTTTACATTAAACAGAGAAATTTTATTATGATTTTGTGCATTTTGCTGGTACGGGACTGATTTTATATATGAGTATCATGTGATTTTGTAAAAAAAAAAAAAAAAAGACATTTCATCTCAATTTTCAGTAAAAAATAAAACAGTGGAGGAAAATTTTTAATCCATCTACATGGGCCATATAATACGCACAGTGGAGAAAGATACCCTTGCAGGATGCTTTGAAGATGCATTTTCAGCCTCTGCCACATCTTTGAATATCCTTGTGTAAAAATCATGTGTTGGTATCTGATGCAGCAATCGAGAAAGAGGTGACTCATCCAGCTAGAAATATTCCTACTCAAATGAGCACTTGCCATAAAAGAAACATTCCCTGAAGTGACCATCTGTCTTGACTCCAGCACAGCCAACAACTTCCTCATGTAAGGTTAGCAGCGTTCCACCTATGCTTTAACTGCAGTAAAGCTTAATTTCTTATGGATCTTTTGTTGGGTAAAGGCATTATGAAATAGAAGTGCAGAATAAATCTAGAACAACCTGTATTTTTGCATCCTGAAGAGAGAATAATGTGTACTTGATAGCAGCCAACAGTAAAATAGAGCATCTGTGATCTCTGAACCAGCCATACATACTGTGCATAGAAGGACACGGGAATGGTGGAGTTACAGAGCATCACATTTGTCACAACACTGAAGGACTGTTCAAGGCCTACAACCTATTTGAGACCTTCAAATGAGTTGCAAGTTTATTTCTCATTTTTTCACCTGAGTTTAACAAGAAAAAAATTCAGGACTGCAGGAGACTGTCAGTGCTGGAATTAATGTTGCTAGTACCATTGAAAAGAACAGCATTAGAGATCAACATTACCTGGTATCAGAGGCTGCTCAACTGAAATACTTCCGTGCTGACATATGCTTAGATTATGCCTGATCAGAAATGAGAGAGAAAAATTGAAGCTCATTTGTCAGGGATTTCAGAGAGAGGAGCAAAAATACAATGGATATAAAGGTTGTAGACAACATCATAAATTGTGCTGTCACTCCTATAAATGGAGCTTGGAATAGGTGGGTGACTTTGACAGAAGATGTGCCCTGCACACTGATTTATTACCTCTGGGTGTGGATTCATCGACTAAGGATGCAGGCATGAGACCAATGTGAACTCTGGGCAAGAACTCACTGGAGCAGAAGGTGATAATGTTACTCCTCCTTAACAGACTGGAGCATCACATTTCCACCTCTGTGTCTGCAGCAAGAGCAAGGCTCTTTAAACTCCAGACAGAGAGCTAAGACTGATGAAAGGCATCTCCTCCTCTTTATAGTATAGCCAGATGAAATTTCACCTGGTTAGATTTATTTTTTTTTTCAAATCTCTGAGACAGGAGCTCCATAGTCCAGGAGCTCAGCAGCTCAGTCTACAAAACAATTAGTGCAATTAGACCAGCAGAGGAGGATGCACAGAGTGAAACCACGGGTGCTGTTCTCCACACAAGAGGTGCTCCAGGGGGTTTGCTAGGTGTGGTCCCATGCAATGAATACCTGTTAGCTTTTGGAGCACCTCAGAGGCACATCCTCTGACTTAACTTCGTCCAGAAGAGATCCATTTGTGTGCTGTGAGACCAGTCTACAGTGAGAAACAAAGCATGGTAAGTGGGTTTTGAGGAAACTCCCTCAGGAGTGTACTGCTGCCTGACTGAAACGCTGTTGCAGGCACACCCTGTAACAGGAGAACCTTCCACCATACAGCTGAGCAGCACCATTCAGGGAGTCCAGTTTTATGAATGGAAAGCTTTACTTACTTATTTGGATTTTGTTATCTAAGTATTGTTCATTATTTTGGAAGGGAGAGATCTACTGTACGTTGATGCTGTTCTAAGGGTTGTAATTGTTAAGCTGAGTATCAAGATTTCAAACACTGGACTCTCTGCTACCCTCAGACACACAATCTAAATATCACCTTCACTCCTGGGGAGTCCTCCCCATCATCCCAGTGCTCATGGCTTTGTGCTTCTGTAGTACAACTGTAGCTTTAAAAAGACTTTCCTGAAGAATGAGAATACCCAATTTCTCTCACTCACAATGGTGTTAAAGTGAAGTAACAGTTAAATCAGCACTATCCCAGTGATTGAAGTCAAGAAGGAACTCTGACAAGGCTTTTGTGTCTCCAGCCTAGAGATGTGCTTCAGTACTCTTGACGAATCTTGCAGATGGAACAGAGAACACATGGCAGGGGAGGACTCTGTCATTACTGGCATTTGCTGTGAACATCTAAAGCCACTTTAGTCCCAAGCACAAGCGTGACATGGGAATTTACATCTCTCAGTGGCCAGTGTGAATGCAGCAGGGAAGCTCTTGCAGTCTCTGGTGCTCCTGCAGTCCCACACCTGTGTGGCTGAACATCACTGACCACTTCTCTGAAAAAAAGAATTGCCAGTTGGAAATGGTCCAACCAGTCTGGCCACCAGTGAATAGGGTGTGGTATATATTCTGAGGTTTAATACAGATACACTACAGAGTTTTAGGCAGAAGCCCAGAACTCCTCTGAACTTGTATGGATCATCTTGGGAAGAAGAAAGAAAAGAACCGTGGCTTAATTGCTGCCAGCATCTCTGTTCTTTAACACTCGCTTTGCTCAAACCTGCCCTTCTTGCACTGAACAATCTATGGGTGTTTAATATTGGAATGTTTTAACTGCCAGTAAGTGCTCCATGGTAAGCTACTTCATGCTGTACTGTGGTAAAAATGGTGTGCTCAGTGATTTCTCTGTGGCATCTGCTACAATCTGGTTCTTCTGGGGGTGCAGAGCTGGGTCAAATCTGCACAACTGCTTCTAAAAATGAATGTGCCTGTGCATCATCATGTGTTCTTAAATCTGTAGGCACTTGTAAAGACTGCAAAAATATAACTCAAAAATAAATCTTTTCATTAATATACTGACTTGTCAATGACTACTTTTATTGCTGTCCTTCTTTTCCCTTCCACCTTTTCTATTATCTTTTTCCTCTAGGCCTACAAAAGTACTCAGTCTTTGTGTCAGTCACATATCTACAGTGAATTGACACAAAAAGGGTGAGAGAAGAGAATTCCCACCACTGCTTCATGGAAGCTGAGGCTTAGAAAAATTAAAAGTTGAGACTTTTGAAATCTTTCTAAAGCATATGGATTCTCAAATCCCATTAAATCTGGTGTTAAAACCTTAACTGTAAAAGTTTGGGTACCTTAAAGGTCCAAGGGCCAGATTTTTCAGACTTGTTACTGCTTAAGTGAAAACAACTGGACTTAGGTGCTTAATTGAACACATATGCAGTGTTCAGTTCCAAATTATGCTTTCCTTAAAACATTTATAAAGCACTTCCCTGTAAAGCCTTCTAAAATGGGCTGCTAGTAAACGTTCCAAACTGGAATTTCGTTTGCATTAGTTCCTTACTTCTGACATTACAATGCAACTCTGTATGGATCCAAGCTGAAGATAAAAAGGCACAAATACAAAAGCAGTGAAATTGAAATTATTACTTCAATGGTGAGAATATATTAAAACTACACTGGAATATAAAAAACTATGGTGGAATTCAAAATGAAAAAAGAAACACACAATTTCATAGAAGTATAAAACATCATGGAAAATCCAAAGAAGATTTTTTTCTAAGTTTCTCCTTCCACCTTAGAAAACTCAAGACTTTAAGAGTAGACAATGAGATTAAAATCTTCCTTAAAGTAATCTGTACAAACATCTACTATTCATGTATTCTCTCTACAATACTCAATCATCTATGCTTCCTGTACAGAAAGAAATAGCAGTGTGCAGTGTTTTGACTCCATAAATAGTTCTAATCAAAATAAACACATGGAACATTATCTTCACTTATATGATTAGACTAACAAGCACTGCTCATTTTTTGCAAGCTGTCTCTACTTCTATCTCACAGTTTTGTTGTACTTGCTTGCTGAATTTCTGCTGATGATTTCTGTTCCGAGCTGTGCTGAGAAGCCTTTCCTAAAAACTTCTGATATTCACAGTTCTTCCTATTGTGTCTTGGTGTCCAGCCTTTAGTCTCCAGCTGGATGAGCACACCAAGTGAGAAGCAGATTTATAGTCATCAAATTTTCATACCAGTAAGTATTTCCTCTCCCCTGTGCTCTGTTAGTGAACCCCAAATGGACATAAACACATTGCCAAGCTTTGCAGAAATTCAGGGCAGCATTAATTGACTCTGTCATATCTCCTTAACTTTGCTGTATTAGTGAAGCTTGAAAGTTTTACCTACAGAGAAAACCTCACAGGCCCTTTGGTAGTTCTTATTTTGCCATTTGCATCAGACACCTTTCTGTCAAGGGAATCAGCAAACATCAGTGGTGACACAGTTTCTGCTTTCTGTGACAAACACACCAAGCCCAGCTTCAACGCTGTGTTCACATCAGTCCTGAGGTCAGGTCCTTGGGACACACTGCACAGAATCACTTTGCAGAGGCACCTTTGCTTTGTGTCGTTTCATCCCAGTGTCTGGGCTTCCAGCTGGCTTTGTTGTGGCTTCCATTTCCATGCTGAACATCAGGCCAGTGACCCAAACACGGCTGGGTGATGCTCTGTGGGCACCCTGCCAAAACGTTTTGCAGGAGAGGAACCTGACACACAGCTATCATTTAAGGCCAATTTATCTCGGGAGTCAATGGGCCTTTAAAAATTCACCAGCTCACATATCCTTTTCAGTGATGGGCATTAGATGTTTCGTGCTCTAATTTTGTGGGCTTTTGAGAGAACCTTGCTGTTCAGCAAATGATGACATATCCCTTGGTAAGAGGAAACTCACAGCCTTCACTTTACCTCTGGAAAAAAAAAGAGAAATCATTATACGAAATGCAAAGGTATAAAACATGCAGAGAAGGTAGAAAAAACCCACCAAAACATCAAGCCAGCAAGCAAAATATAAATGCTTTCAACCTTTGCACGCTACTGGAGGCAGAATTTCATGCCATTCACATGGTCATGCCAAAGGATCAAGCATGGCCCTCTCTGCTGGAAACATCTGCCTTTTTCCATCGAGTCTCACATCCCTCTGTCAGTGCCTGACCTGTGCGTACAAAGCTGTGTGTGCACAGAACCCTGGGGTGCATGTGCACCCACTGAGACCCTTCAGTAATTTTAGTATAATAGCCCTGAAAAGAGTTCTCAGCCTCTCTTATCCTGTATTTAAATATTTAATAGATTTTTTCATTTACCAAACACAGTGGGAATCCCTTGGTAGAAATAATACTTTAGCATATATGAATTAAAATATTTTAGACATGCAAATTAGAGATGGTTTGTTAGCAGTGCTGGTTTTTATTACTTGGATGCAACTGCACTCTATATAAATTCAAGGTGATACTTCTACAGAGTTAATTTTAAAGCAAAAATATTCATATCACTTACAGGATTATAGCTTTGGAGCAAAATGTGAGTAAGCTGCAATAAACAAACAATAGGAAAACCTGACATGAAGCAGCATGCTGGAAAGCAAAAATGCCATCCTTGTAAAAAATTAAGCTTAATAAGCTTGCTGAACTAATTGCTAGAAATTACTTTACTAGTGAAAAGCTAACTAAGTTTGGTGTTTGTGTCAGAAGACATTTGAGTATAAAATGGAAGCATCCACCATTAAGACCATAAAAGATACTAAATGTTTTTTGGTGTGAGAAACAAAGCTTTGTGCTTCAGGATCTCAACCAGCCCACCGAGGGGTTTAGGTGAAAAGCAGTTCCACAGCCACTTCTCCTGAAGCAGGCAGCAGTGAGTGGCCACGAGTCACTGCTCAGCCTGGCAGGGCAGCTCTAAGGACAGTGATAAAATCATCAGCAGGTCCCCAGGCATTCGATGTAACAGATCTGTGCTGCTATTTTGATTGCTCTGAAAGCTCTTTCCCTCATGAGCCAGCAGCAGCGTTTGCCATTGCCATCCCGTGCCTGCACGCTGGTGTTTCCTACCATGCACACCTTCCACGTGAGCTGGCTCCAGCCCGAGGTGTTCCTGTGCACCCAGAGCCTGGAGTGTCCCTGCAGCCAGTGGAGCGTGAGCAGAAATCCAGAATTATAGCGTCAGGCTGCTTTGGAAAACGATGTGAGTTCCCTGCCAGGGACTAAATTTAGGTGTCTTACTGCTGTAAAACATCTGACCCTGAAATGCCCTTACAAGAAAGCCCAGGTGCCTCTGAAAGCTTGACCTTGTTGTCCCCTGCAGCCTCTCAGAGAGGAGCTGGGCCCCAAATCAGCTTTGCACAGGGAGTGCAAGGGGTGGGCACTGCTCTGAGGATTTAGGGGGACAATAAAAGCTGTTGTGATGTGCCATGCACAGGTACATCCACACAGGTGACACAACCCACAGCAGGTGTCAGCCCCCACGGTGGTCACTGGTGTCCTGTCCCAGGACATGCATGGGCAAGCAGGCAGAGCCTTGGACTTTTCCCTGCTCAAACACATGCTTTGAGGCCATTTGAATTATTTTCCTTTTGAGCACAGCACAGCTGGGCTAAACCCAGGAATCAGCATGAATTCCCAAGGTGGATATATCAGCAACAGGATGTGGCTGGGCTATCATACATCACAGTCTCATTACTGCTGCTTCTACCTGTGGTGGTTGTCCTGTGCTGGAAAGCTTCTCATCAATGAGCAGAGACACTCAGGGCTGGTCCAGCAGCCATTTCACTTAATTTGGAAGCTGTCCTGAGACTACTTTTTTGAAGGCTGAAAGCATTAATTTGTAATGCTTCAGTTACAGGGGAAATATGATACAGTACATCCATGGACCACAGTAATCACACTTCTGAAGGCATGGTGCAGAGATCCTTGGTATTCCCGTGCTTTTTGTTCAAAGTTTAAAAATCCCTTTCAAGCTTAGCTTGTCAGAACATCACATCAATCTGCAAAACTCTGCCTGGCTTTAACAGAGCAAAGATTTCAACCCCCTTCTCTCTGCCTCAGCCTCTCCCTTCTATGACAAATGTAAGCTGCTACCACTGCCAAAGCTCATGCAGTGCAGGGAGGAGAAGCACAGCTTCCCCAAGAGAGGTCTCCAGACTGCTCAGGGCCCACATACATTCAAACAATCATTTTGCTGATAACACACTAAAACCCAGAGCAAAGCCCACATATCTGATTAGGTGAAAGCTGTGTCCAGCCTGGGCAGGTGGTGCTGCAAAGGCAAACCAAACCTACTGGCACTTATAGACGTGCTCCTGAAACAGCTTCATGTTGCTGGAGTGGCTGTAGGAGGGACAACTGGCTGGTGACTTTTCAAAGCCTTTCTCCTGTTCCCTGCTGAGCTGTGCTGCAGCAGGAGGGGCTGGTGGCTGGGCATTGCTTGGAGGATTCCTGCCAGCCCAGTGGGACCTGGTGCTGGAAGGGGCAGGAGCTGGGGAGACGGTGGGGTAGCGCCTCACAGTCATAGCAGTATCTGAGGAGCACAGAAAAAAGCGGAGATTAGAACAATACTAATAACACCACTGTTAATAATAATGGCAATTCAGATATCCTCAATGTACTTTTAGAGAGTGATTTTTTACATGGGCAGATAGTAATAGAACATGGGGGAATAGTTTTAAGCTAAAAGAGGGGATATGGGATTTTAGGAGGTGGCATAGGTTACCTGGGGAAGTTGTGGATGTCCCATCCCTGGAAGTGTTCAAGGCCAGGATGGATGAGTCTTTGAGCAACCTGGTCTAGCAGAAGGTGTCCCTGCCAATACTTTGTTATTATTTGTAGCATTTTTCTAATCTTTGACTAAGGCAGGATAGGTTATGGCATGGTTAAGAGTGTTGGCCCTTTTCTGCCTGGAACAGAGAGGGGACAGGCATGTGGAGGAGAGCCCACGACTGCAAAAACCCAAAGCAGAAAGTCAAATTCTGCTTAAGTGAACTGAACTCTGAGTTGAATCCTTTGTTTGAGCAGCAGCAAAACACTCC